TTATAGTGGGAACTTACTTTGTGTAGTAGCAGGGGCTACTTGTGAGCTGAACGTAGGCATGTGCCAAGAGGTTCAGGTAAAAAAAGAAAAAAAAAAGTCATGACCCTATAAAAAAAAAAAAAAAAAAAAAAAAAAACGAACTATAAGCTTCTCTTGATTTTAAAAGGAAAGTCAAGCATCAAATATTTTGTTTACATTTATTGACTACCGTGCTCCAGGGCTTTCTTCATGTCTAAACCTATACTGAGTTATAATTGCTTTTACACACTTATTGAATTCTGAATGACTAAGAATTGTGCCAGGAATAACCTTGTATATTTTCCAAAGCATTGGATACAAAGAAAAAAACAGAAGGCGCACGGGCCTAGTGCATTACCATAAAAAACATTTGATAGAAATAATAGGTATTGTACTCACAAATGACAATAATGTCAACGGCACTTCATAAAAGAACAGCACTCTCCAAATCCATACTATGTGACCGTCCACAATAGGAACCCTGGACTTCCAACAGACCCAACACACGCAATGCCAGTACCCTCTCTTATATATTCTCCGACTAGTTCAGAAGCTACATGTGGGCCGTCACTGGCTTGCCCAGGTGCGGAGACGTTCACATGAGCTGCCCTTCCAGATGACATAAAAGAAACATAAAAACAACCAATCTGTAAACAATACTATAACTGTTATAAATACTTGATGAATTGTAAAAGACCACGCAATTCCATAAAAGACAATAAAAGTGCATAAAAAGTTTGCCTCATATTGTATATATTGGATCCCATTATGTTATATTTTATGAATCCTTGTCGCCTCATCTGTCTACATCTACAGGTTGTGCTATTAGAAATAATAATGATTATATAGTGGATGTTGGATAGGAGGGAGATGGAGAATACAGTTCACATGCAGATGTGTATAAATGCATTAAAAAAAAAAAAAAAAAAAAAAAAAATGTGTGTATAGAGGGAGATCAAAGCAAATTAATGTTGTAAACTTACATCTCCTGTATTGATGCAGTGTAGTGGTGTTGATGCCATTGCTTAGTGTGTGTGGGGGGATGACATGCCTGAAAACATACCTGCCGCTAAAAAGGCAGCTGTCAAGTGACACTCTCCACACTGCATGGAATTGGCTGGAAAACACACACCGGCATGTGCAGTCCAGTGATTCTCTCCTGTCTGTGTGTTCCACTGGGACGCACGCCCAGTGGAATCAAATATATTCAATACAATATGAGGCAAACTTTTTATGAACTTTTATTGTCTTATGGAATTGTTTACAGATTGGTTGTTTTTATGTTTGTTTTATGTCATCTGGAAGGCGGCTCATGTGACATTTGTCTCTACCCCTGGGTGAGCCAGTGACTGCCCACATGTAGCTTCTGAATTAGTCTAGGAATATATAAGAGAGGGTACAGGCCAGGGGCGGACTGACCATTTGGAAACTCGGGCACTGCTCGAGGGCCCTGGGTCAGTAGGGGGCCCCATGAGATGCCCCTGGTACCTTTTTCATAGGGCTTTTTTGAGTTTGAGCAAGGACGCAGGGGCCCCATGATCCCCTATTGCCTGGGGGCCCCATGAGTTGTCAGTCCGCCCCTGGTACAGGCATTGCGTGTGCTGGCTCTGAGGAAGAGGCAAGTCCTTGAAATGTATTGGCCTGTTGGAAGTTCAGGGTTCCCATTGTGGACAGTCACATAGTGTGGATTGGAGAGTGCTGTTCTTTCATGATGTGCCTTTGACATTATTGTCATTTGTGAGTACAATACCTATTTCTATCAATAACGTTTTTTTTTAAGGTAATGCACTAGGTTGGTGCGCACTCTGTTTTCTTTGCATCCAGTGCATTTGGACTTCCATAGTCCATTGAGGGCAGCAAGGCGTACACTTTCCAGAACATTCGAGATGTGGTTATAGCCTATATGTTGAGTCCATCCCCAAGCTTCAGGAGTATTTGGGTTTACCATTTTCCAAAGCATGCTTTAACCACTATTATTAAGGTTATCACATGTGCTGGTAGAGTCTAAACTTAAAGACGCATGTTTTTCCCAGGAGGGGGCTGGTTTTAACTGTAAGGCCTGTACAGGGGGCATCCACTAGGGCTCTTTATGCTTGTCTGCAATGCGGAAAGAACCATACTAGGAAAGGAAGATGGGGCAAGGTCCATGTCAATACAAGCCAACTGTGCACAGACCCTCCCCCCCCCCTTCCATCTTTGTCTTAGTGCAGTGCCCACATACTGTATTTTGACAGGTGAGAAAACCAAAGCATGTAAACACTGCATGGACCATGCACCACACAAAGCACATGTTTTTGTCAAGAATAGTTATTTGCATTTACCAGTGCTGATATGTTTGGTAAAATCACATAGCAAAATCTACAATGGTTAATGAAAGATTTTAAGTCTAACTGCAAAAGAATTAAAACGTGGTTCTAAAGGCTGAAGGGTTTTTACCTTCATGCATTCTATGTATGAAGGTAAAAGAAAACATTCAGTGTGCTGCCCTCCCTAATATGTATCTGCGCCTGATCCCAGTCCAGTGATGTGTACAAGAGCAGAAGCTCTCCGAGGTCTCTGCCACATCATTAGCTGAGACAGGAGAAGAGGGGGCTGGGAGTGGGGCCGAGCGGTGCCCTGTGGGTCTCAGACACACAGAGGTGGCTCGGGAGCAAGTAACTTGCTATGGGGGCACTCAGCAGGAAAGAGGTGCCACGAGCGCCTGTGGAGGGGGGAACCCAAGGAGAGAATGATCTGGGCTGCTCTGTGCAAAACCAGTGCAAAGAGTAGGTAAGTATGCGGTTTGTTTGCGAAGGTCCAAATTTTTTTTTCTTAAATAACGCTTTAAAGTCAGTCTTATACTAAGATAGCAGGTGACATTGATGCTTTGTGACAGATTAACCACTTGCCGCCCTGCCACTGTAGATATACGGCGGCAGGGTGGCACTCGCAGGCAAAACCACTTTTTAAGACGTGTGTTTTGTAAACAAATAGGGGGCGCGCGCGAGGTGCGCCACCGCCCTAATCTATCCCGCCGATCACCGCCGCAGATGTGAGTTGCCGGGTCACAGCCGGTCCTTAGCGGCTGTTTCCCCGGCGATCGGCGGCAAACAGTGACAGACAGCACAGCTGCAGTAGCTGTGCTGTCTGTCACTTCCCTGTCAGCTCGAGGATGAGCTGAACAAGAAAGAACAGTTTCTCTTTCTCGATCAGCCTTGTCCCGCCCAGTACACACCCCCGCCCCCTAGTAAAACACTCCCCTCACTCCTATAACCCTTCCCTGCAAAATAAAGTTAAACCCTTCCTCCCCAGTGCCATTAGTACAGTGTCAGTGGTTTTTTTTTTTGCACTGATCACTGTATTAGTGTTTTTGGGGATGTCAGTGACCCCAAGTCAGTACCGCCCCCAATGTCAGAATGTCTCCCGCAGTCCCGCCATAAGTCGCTGGTTGCTGCCATAAGTCCCTGATCGCCGCCATTATTAGTATAAAAAAAAAAAAACCTAAAAATCCCAGTATCTTTCCTGCCATTTGTAAACACTATAACTTTCACGTAAACCAATTAATTTTCACGTATTGGGTTTTTTTTTTTTTCAGCAAAGACATGTCGCAGAATGCATTTTGGCAGAAATTTATGACTAAATTTGATTTTTGCATTTTTTTTTTTTACTGGACATGTTTTATAGCAAAAACGTCCAAAATATTGTTTTTTTTTTTTTCCACAAAATTGTCAGCCTTTTTTTTATAGCGCAAAAAATAAAAACCGCGTAAATTGCAGTATCTATACCAGCAATGGGCAAACTACGGCCCGGCGGACCTTTTAATCCGGCCCGCGGAGCGTGGCAAACATCGGCTGTCAGAATGTGTGTAGGCGGGGCAGCGTGAGGAACGTGAGGGGAGCTAGGCTCCTCTCACAGTCCGCCCTGAAGACCGGAACGGCGCGGGAACACGGCGAGAGGAACGCGCGGAGCAAAGGTAAGTGAATTGACACAGGGGGGACTTGGGGACTTAATATGGGGGATGAATTAATATGGGGAATGAATTACTATATGGGGGATGAATTACTATGCTTACTATGGGGGAATATTACTATACATACTATGGATGACACATACACATCATTCATCTACTCTTGGTCCGGCCCCCGGGTCCAATATATGAACCCATTGCGGCCCTCAAGTCAAAAAGTTTGCCCACCCCTGATCTATACCATAGTTTGTAGACGCTATAACTTTCACACAAAGCAATCAATATACACTTATTGGGATTTTTTTTACCAAAAACATGGAGCAGAATACATTTTGGCCTAAATTTATAAACAACTTTGAGTTTACTATATATTTTTTTATAGCTGAAAGTAAAAAATATTGTTTTTCTTCAAAATGTTTGGCATTTTTTTGTTTATAGCGTGAAAAATAAAAAGCGCACAGTTGATCAAATTACACCGAAAGAAAGCTCTATTTGTGTGAAAAAAAGGACATAAATTTCGTTTGGGTGCAGCATTGCATGACCGCGCAATTATCAGTTGAATTAGTGCAGCGCCGAGTAGCAAAAAGAGGCCTGGTCATTAAGGGGGGTAAATCCTCAGGAGCTCCAGTGGTTAATAAATCCAGCATTAGATGGTGATTTCTACACTGAAGTCAAGCTGTAACTATTAATACACAGTACTCACCTGTGACCTCTGCAGTCTTACCTTAAGCATTGTTATCTCATCCTCTGGACTACAGTACACCCCACATGTTATGGAGGACTTGGGGGAGGAGTGAGGACTACTAACACTTTATGCCCCAGGATGACAAGATTATATTTTTTTTAATTTATGAAGCACAGGGCTCTTTCCAGCCAATATATAAATATTTATTTTCATTTTCCTCAATAACAAGGCAGCAGGATGGAATAAAAACAGAGAGATTTCCTCATCATTCTCTCAGGTCCAGGTGGGTCCATTGTAAGGGGTGATCCATCACTCCCCGACTTGTGGCATTCTGTTCACCATCAGTCCATGTCACTCCTTGTCTTTAGACTTGGTGATGATCACCTCACCCAAGCTCTCCAGGACCTCCCGCTTGTAGTCATCAAAGTCTCCTTCTATCTGGTTCACGCTCTGATCCTCTACCACCCACAGCTGGCAGTTCGTCTCTGTGATGAGACGGGCATCGTGGCTGACCGTGATTACCGCTGTGGAGAGAGACAGCATGGTCAGTGATGGCTCCAGGCCCTGAGACATGCTAGACAGTAGACAGGGCACTTTACAATATATTTGAAGACAACTTGCTGATACAGGAATAAAAGGACCCACCATCTTTGCATCCTGCTGAGTCACTGATCTCAAACAAGCACACAGGAGCTCCGACCTTACCCATTTCATACTTCTGGGTCAACAACTCACCAGTTATTAGTGAAATGCAGATGGGTGTCTGTACCTTGCATCTGTAAAACAAGCCTGCCCCTACCCTTTCCCTCCCCCCCCCCCCCCCCCATTTACTCCAGAAGGTCCCTTCCCATGTATGTTATGGCAAACTTTTGATAGGATATACCATATGTCCAACGAGAAACTGCAATTGCACAAACACTTACCTCCTTTGTATTCATTCACAGCTTCTGCCAAAGCATCAATGGATTCAATGTCCAAGTTATTTGTGGGCTCATCCTATAGTAGCCAGGAGAGAGGAAAATTATTAATAAACAAAACTGTACCTTGTTATTTGCAGTATTTCTTGGACAATATCAGCAAATATACAACCAGTTAAATCAAGTTCTAAATGTAGAACAGGAGAAACTAGGATCCATTTTTTTTTTTTCTAATTAAACATTTCCATGAACTGCAGCAGCCATTACGCTACAGGTACACTTGAAGGGAAAAATTAAACATTTTGGTAGAAATGTAGCTTTTAACCTACAGTGCTCAGAACACTATAATTAGTCATGTTATACCTAGGGAAACTACTTTTTTTGGTTTTAAGGAAATGTAATATATAATGTAAATATCAGAGGACTAGGATATATGACCCAGCAAATAAGGCACAAGGCCATAAAAATGTATTTACTTCCCAAAATACATACAGTAAATCTAATAGGCGCAGAAATTTTCCTTTTGGCAGGTTATTGCTTTTGCTGAGCTAATGCAAGGTCAATAGAAGAGTGACAGTGCTGGTTTGTAATTAGTAGTTGCCACAGCACTCATTTACTCAAAGCCATCTCCAGGAGTGTGTGCGATGGCAATATTTTATTTGACCGCAGGCACTGTTTTCCAAGCTTCAAAATGAGCAGTATGTGTGAATCCAGGCAGAAAAAATGGAGCAACTTCCCCCAACACTCCAGCTTAATGTCATGAAAAATGAAAAGCTAAAAGGGGGGAAATATAGATCCTTCATTGAAAGATAAGTTCACCTTTGTATAAAAAATAATAAATGCACATCTTTTTGCATGTAAAATAAAAAATATGTGCATTTATTATTTTTTTACATTTCAGTTTGTAAGGCATTGCACCCACGATCATTAGATCAGATGTGCAATGCCTGGATGCTGGAGACTCTCAGTATACTGAATGACAGGAAGGATAAATGAACAACAGAGTGCTTATCAGCACCCCGATAGTTCATTGAGAATTACAAGCTGCCAGCCACAAAAGCTAACAGTATCTGTAGTTTGAAAACAAAGGCTAGGTGCTACAATCTGATCAGTGGTTCATATAGTGAACTCGGTGTAGAGTTATTCACCCTGAGGTCATCACAGAGGACAAGAGGGCACTCTTAACATTTGGAGGAAAAGAAATGTAATCTCCAAACACGGAAAGGTTTCTTTACAGTGAGAGCTGTAAAAATGTGGAATAGACTCCCTCAAGAGTTGATTCTGGCCAGCTCAGTGGATTGCTTTACAAAAGTCCTGGATTCTTTCTTAGATACACAGAATATAACTGGATACTAACATTTATAGGTAAAGTTGATCCAAGGAATATCCGATTGCCTCTCGGGGATCAAGAAGGAATTATTTTCCCTGCAAGAACAAATTGGATCATGCTTTGCTGGGTTTTTTTTTGCCTTCCTCTGGATCAACTGCGAGTGTAGGATTATAACTTTTTTTTTTTTTTTTAATGGTTGAACTGGATGGACTTCTGTCTTTTTTCACCCAGAATAACTATGTAACTATGCAGTTCTTAGGCTAAAGCTCAATTCACATTCACCTTGCCAGACCAGCAGTCTCCACCTGCTCATATAGAATATCCACAACATAGAATGTCGTAACAAGGTGAAAAGGTAAACTTCTTCTTTATTATATGCAAGAAGTAAAATATTCCATACAGTAATAAACGCTAAGACATTTCAGTCAAAGAAAGAGCTTATTCATAGCGTATTAAAATAGTGGCAGCGAGTCGGGGGAGAAGATCCCGGTTTGCTGTCACGGTGAGGCAGCGGATTGGGGAGGGGCTGCAGGAGAGGGAATATGTTACATGTTCCAACCTAAAAAAGGGGGGAACATGTAACATGTTCCCAAAAGTGAACTTATCCTTTAAGAAGCCTGCACAATTATCTTAAAGGCTGAATATTGAGATTCCTAAAAAAGGTAAATTATGGCACGTCCTCAAAAAGGTAAGGTAGCCCAAAGGAGATTGATGGAGGTGATGTTGAGAAAAAAAAAAAAAGTATCGCCAATGGTATGTCCACAAGTGGTGAGGTATTTCAATGTAAACCTGATAACAAAATGCTGACAGTTGCCAACAACAAACATTCCAAGTTAAAGTATAAAAATGTGTCCACTGGCATTATTAATGCCTGTATAAGACTTATTTAAAAGTGTTGGAAAAACATGTTGAAGCATACTCACCAAAATGAGGACATCTGGCTCCCGGCAACACAACTCTGCAAACACTACTCGTGCTTTCTGCCCTCCTGCAACAGAAATGCTGACAAATTTAGTTTGTTCCTGATAAAAAAAAAAAAAAAAAAAAAAAGAGTTCCAGAAGCCATTAAGCATCTCAAACACCCCCCAAAAAGTTTTTCTCCTAGACTTCACATACAGCGATACCACAGGTAAAATCTGGCACTGCAATTACTATAGGAATATAGTAAATAAGACCCTGTCATAAACTTAAAACAGCAGGTAAAGCACAGAAAAAGTATTTTAAAGGGTAACTCCACTTTTTTTTTGGGGGGGGGGGGGGATTTCAAATAAAAATAATAATATAGCTCATGCAATTACGGACCTGTCCTTTTCAATCTGCAGGATTGTAATTTTCTGTAAAATGCAATGCAATATGGCTATCTGGAGGCATTCTGTACAGATGTCGTACAGAACGCCCCCCAGATATGTAATTTCCTGTTTGTGTGACTGCCCTACTGATTTTCCCAGAAGTCTGCACTAAGATACAAGTCAGATTTTTAGCATACCCTGCAACAAAAAAAATTAAATTTTTGGTGAGATATTCCCAAAGGGAAAATTATGTTGTCTAAAGGGATGTAGTTTTCCTCATTTAGAGCCCTGCAGGTGCAGCAGCTGATAGACAATTATGAAGTCACTCCCATACAGATTCATGCTGCACATGGACACAAAAAGCTACTTCTACAGAACAACAAAAAGGAATCTGCAACAAAGTTTACTAAAATCCTTGACATGTCCATAGATCACCCAAAAGGAAAGATTTTTTTCTCAACAAAAGCAGACTTACTCTTAATTGTTTACTTGCAGTTTTTTCCTTTCCCTTTTTGGCACTTGCAATGTGCCACTGAATTTTCTTGAAATTATGACTATTTGAAGTGTCAATTCCTTAGCACAGCCCCTTCCTCTTTGCACATCATAGCACTTTCCTCTTCTGGGACTGTCTAATTACTATCGGTGCTGTCCCAGCTCCTCTCCCCCCTTTACCTCCTTACATAAACTTATTTACCTTCTGGAAGAGGGGGGGATACTATAAGAATGGCAACTCTGAGCCTGTTGGGGCTGCTGATTTCACATCCAAAGTATCAACACTCAGCAGCAGTCTTAGGGCCCATTCACACCACCATGTCATGTTTGTTGTGTGTTTTTTTTTTTTTTTTTTACACAATAGCATGGAACAGCCCATTCAATTGAATGGGCTAACAAATGTAACAAAAGAAGCTCTAGGACCTTTTCTGACCTTGAGTTTTCTGCGTTTGACCTCACAGGAGCCACTGCAGCAATTTTAACATGTTTTAAAGGGCAAGATAGGACATGAACCCCTAACCAGGAAAAGGGTCCTTGTTTAGGATTTGGAACATCCTTGTAATGTATTCCAAAAAGAAAGGAGATGACCACACTTTATGACCATAATCTGCAAAATAGTGTAAGGAAACAGTTTGCTTTTAGTGAAGCAGCAAGTAGGAATGGGTAGTAGAAAGTAAGAGAGCGAGGACAGCAATATAGACTCTTTGTGTACCTCTCCAAAGAAGGGGTGAAATAAAATGGTTGGGACATCTCTAGTCTAAACTGGAGGAAATGATCGTAGATGTCCACCCTCACTTCCAGAGGTGAAGGTGAACCTCAATGTGAAGATGGTTTCGGAGTAGGTCCAGTGGGCTTGGAGGTGGGTAACTTGCCACAAGAAAGGACCTGTAGTACATGATGGCACCTTGAGGGGGCGAACAGATCATACTCCTAAGGTAAAGGGGTCCCATTCAACAGGTAAGTTTGATTGTGGATAGTGGGATAGGAATCCCCCTCACTCAGTTGGCGTCTTAATGTATTCCTCATGTAAATTTCCAAAGAGGAACTGACAGCAAGACACTAAAGCTAAAGGAAAAAAACAAACAATCAAAAGTGTAGGTTATCCCATAACCTATGCGTTTCAGATCTCTTGTGTGCTTAGCACTGTGGTGGGTCTTGGTAGGAGAAGACAAAATATTATGCACAGTATGTACACATACATAGATTTTTATTACAGTAACTGGTATGTAACGGTACAGGGAAATCCTGTCTTACCATTCCCATGTCACTGGTCCCATTCAGGACCCAGTGCCCAAGGCAAACCTTAAAGGCCAGCTCAGGGGCCTGGGTTTGGTTCCCAAGATAAATATCAAGGGTAACCGATCTGGAAACTGACAATGAGCCATAAGGCAATAGGCAGTCAGATCTTGATAGAAATGTTGATCTTGACAAAAGGGGTCCAACAAAAGAACACTAGCATAAAATTGGAACCTCACTGAGTGGCCAGTGTTATTGGAATACACTGGGGGGCTGTCCCAGCAAAGCTTTGCCAATCACCTGAAGGTAGCAGCATACAACCCATGGTCTAAGAATCAAATTCCTGTGTCTTATACTGTGCAAAATTGGATATCAGTTTTTTTTTTTTTTTTTTTTTCCTAAATTTTGGTCTTTTGGGCGCTCGTGAGCAGCAACCAGGATGGCTGCTATTTAATCCTGCTCCTCGGCTGCCGAACACATCGGCCGATTTTTGCTCCTCAGGGAGGGTCCCCCTGCTTCCTCTCTGGCCCCTTGTCCCTCCAGTAGCCCAATGGGCAAAAAAAAACGCCGGCCACCCCGTGCCTCCAGCTGCCGGCGGGCGGCGCCGGAGTTTGCGGCCTACCCGCCGGAGGTCACAGCTGAAGCCACGGCCTCGATTTTGGGCCGGCCGCCGGAGACTTCCAGGACCCCGGCCGCGCGCGTTCGTGGCTCCCGCCGGAGACCTCAGATGGAGCCCCAGCCGCGATTTCGGGTCCCATGACGTCGCTATCCGCAGGTGGGTCGGATCCTGGCAGTGTGGAGGACCTGGCATCAGAGCCATCCCAGCAGTCTCCCGAGCCATCCCAGCAGTCTCCCATGCCATCTCTGCGGGATGCTGAGCTCCTGAGCCGCTTCCAATTTATGTTGCAATCAGAATTGTCCTCCGCTACCTCCAAGCTGGCCGACCGTCTTTTGTGGGAATTCGGGAGTTGGGCAACCGGACGAACGACCTCGAGGATAAAATGGACGCTGCGGCCACGGTTATTGAAAATCACGAACACGATTTGTGCGACCTCAAGAAAGAATTGGCGGACACGCTGCTACGGCTTGAGGATTTTAAAAATCGTTCCCGCCGTGGCAATTTGTGGTTAAGGGGTATCCCGGAAACAGTTACGGATCTTACTTCCACTGCTACTGCTCTGTTTCAGGATTCCCATTGACCGGCTTGAATTTGATCGCATACATCGTGCATTGGGCCCCAGATGACCGAATGGGCCCCCCGAGGGACATTATCATCAAGTTCACTTATTACCGCACTAAGGAAACTATCCTCTTGGCGGCCAGAAATAAACCTGATCTCAGTTTCCGGGGCATCGCTACCAGCTCTTCGCGGACCTTTCCCAGACCACTCTTCAGAAGCGCCGCCAGTTGAAGCCCTTCATTTCGGTCCTGGTGAAACACAGTATTAAATACACCTGGGGCTTTCCGTTCCGCCTCACCTTCACCTACCAGGGCCGCAGTCACTCTGTGGCTACGCCGGAGGAGGCCCATTCTCTCTTGGAATCCTTACACCTTCTTTAGCCGGAGGCTGCAGATCGGAGCCCAGTTCATTCATCTGGATCCCCGGCGAGGCCGCTTCCTCCGGGCCACATCTGGGAGCGGTCGTCCAATAGGAAGAGGGCCCTCTCTCAGACCCCCTTCGCGATCAAGTCCTTCCTGTTCTTCTCCGGGCTGAAGATGCGTCCTGGGCTTCCCATGTATCATCTCACCGATAACCTCTCTGACTGGACCGTGAGTTTGGCCCTTAGGGCTCCCCCAGTTTGTTAGCATTCCGGTTGGTACTGATCCGGCTTGCTCCCTTGGGTTCCATCCCTGGTTGGGGGGGGGGGGGGGGGGGGTCTCCTCCTGGACTTAAGAATTATGACTTTCTGTTGCCGCAGCCTGTTTTGGGCCCGGGTGATGGTGTCCGGTCTCCGTTGGTGGCATGGGGTGATGGTTCCCTCGGGCTCCAGGGTGGGAGGTTGATCTGGTAGGCCAGGTTGGGTGGGAGGGGGTGGGCCCCCATGGTTCTCTGGGTTTCTATGGGAAGGTTATCACGGAGGTCCTCGCTCCTGGGACTTTTAGTTTTATTACTTTGGTACCCCGTTCTATTATGTTCATTGCATTATTGCCCTTTGCCCCCTGAGGGCTTATGTTTCTGATGTTTACATTTGCAGCCATGTGTCTGGTGGTAGAGCCACCCCTAACTGGTATCCTTCATGAGTAGGATGCACGTCACCATTGGCGTGATAAGATTGCACTGTTGTATATACTTTTTGTGTCTTTTTCCTTTCTTTGTTTTCTTTTTCTTCCCTGTTTTTTTTTTTGTTCTTGTTTTATGCATGGTCCGATCGCCATTGGGAGTGGAAATTGCTAGCTGCTTTATGTTTTTTTCTGCTGAGCGTGTTGCACTGATGCCGCCATGGCCTCACCCCTTTTGAAAATACATTCACAAAATGTTCACGGCTTCAATTCGCCTCAGAAGCAGGCTAAAGTTTTTCATCACCTCAAATCGCAACAATTTGATGTGGTATGTCTACAGGAGACCAGGTTTTCTCAGTCCTCCACTCCGCGTTATCTTTCACCTCACTATCCCACCTTTTACACGGCCTTGGCTCCTGAGAAGCGTCATAGTGTACTGATAGCTTTTAAACGCAATCTCCCTTTTGTCTGTGCTCGGAATATAGTGGACCCCACGGGCAGGTATTTGCTTCTGCAAGGCACCCTCTGGGACCAGGAGGTTACTTTTGTCTCTTATTACGCGCCTCATCGTTTTCAAGATAAATTTTTTTCGCATCTTTGCACCATTGTTTCCCGACACTCCAAAGGTCTCCTTCTTGTTTTGGGGGATTCAAATGTTACTTTGGATTCCACATTGGATAGGCGCTGCGCTCGGGGGGCGACCCCCTCTCATGACTTGGTGCTGGAGGAACGTATGCGCTCTCGTTTGCGGATGGCGGGGGGGCTAGCGGACGTCTGGAGGGAGCTTCACCCAACTGAACACGACTTTACATTCTACTCCAATCCTCATGACAGTTTTTGTAGAATTGACCACATATTTATGCAGGTTCAGCAGCTTCCTTTGGTCAGGCGGATAACTATTCCCTCCTCACCCTGGTCGGATCATGATCACTTGGTATTTTTCCTTGCCCTCTCTGGGTCAGAACGGCGCCCTTTTCATTGGCGCATCAACGATTCTTTATTGACCACTCAGACTACCTGCGAAAAAAAATAGAATTTTTTTTTACGGACATACTTCACGGAAAATTCGGGATCGGTCTCTTCGGCAGTGCCCTTATGGGAGGCGCATAAGGCCACGGTGCGGGGTCATGTTATACAGCTGGCGGCGGTCCGGAAGCGGGAGCGCCGACTTTTGGAGCTTCATTCTCTCCAAGCCTCTGCGGATGCGCGTTGGAAGGCATCTCCGTCGCGGCCCATAAACGTGCTCGGGACGCTCTGGCGACAGAATTAGACCTACTTGCCTCTTCGGAGGCGGAACGGGCCCTGCGTTGGACCAAACACAAATTTTATTCCTGTGCTAATAGGCCGGGCCCGATGCTGGCCAGGAAACTCAATTCTGTGGGGAAACCACATAAACCGATCCGACTGTGGCTTCCCACGGGTGGATGTACTTCTAACCCTCAGCAGATTGTTTCCCGATTCTCGGACTTCCTTTGCGCCTCTACACTAAACCAGATCCCTTCCCTGTGGCTCAAGCAGAGGCATTCTTTCAAGATCTCCATCTTCCTGGATTATCTGCGGCAGCACAGGTGGCCCTCAACGCCTGTGTTACCGTACCGGAAGTGCTCCAAGCTATCAAATCTTTACGGTCCGCCGCAGCTCCAGATCCTGAAGGCTTTTCCGGTCTCTATTATAAGAAATTCTCTGCCCTTCTTGGCTGACTATTTCAATGAGTTACGACAGGGCTCCTTGCCCTCTCCAGACGCGCTTAGAGCGCATATCTCCATGATTCCTAAGACGACCGATGATGTACAGGAACCGCAAGCCTTCCGGCCCATTTCTCTTCTTAATGAAGACCTGAAGATATTGGGCAAGATTCTTAGTTCTCGTATCAATAAATATTTGTGGAGCCTGGTCCACAGGGACCAAGTGGGGTTCGTCCCTGGGAGGCAGGCAGGTGATAACGTTCGTAAGGTGGTCCATCTTATACATTTTCTGCAAGAGCGGAAAATCCCGGGATTCTTACTGTCCTTAGACATATATAAAGCCTTTGATTCTCTATCCTGGGAATATCTGCGGTTTGTGCTGTCTCTTTGGGGTTTTGGGAATTCTATTCTTTCTTGGATCCAAGCCTTGTATTCTTCTCCTTCGGCCTTCGTTAAATAGGCTGGGTATTTCTCGGATCCCTTTCCTATTGGGCGAGGGACGAGGCAGGGCTGCCCGCTGTCCCCGGCGCTCTTTGTCCTGGCGCTTGAGCCGCTGGCTTTAGCGCTTCGGACCGATTGCAATATATCGGGGGTTTCCTACACGGGACAGGAGTTTAAGCTGAACCTTTTTGCGGACGATGCCCTCTTGACTCTTACTGATCCTCTGACAACGCTTCCTAATTTGCAACGGGTTCTTGAGCGCTTCTCTTTGATTTCGGGTCTCCGTATTAACTTGGATAAGACTGTCGCTCTCAATATTACTTTGGCTTCAGATTTGGTTTCGCGCCTACAATCCCACTTCCCTTACAAATGGGCTTCCTCTTCTCTTGAATACTTGGGCATTTGCTTGACCCCCACCTATGACTCCCTCTTTGCTGCAAACTATTATCCATTGCTCAGCTCTCTATCTTCTCTTATGTATTCCTGGCAATTTCCGCACCTGTCTTGGATAGGGCAGGTCCATTCTGTGAAAATGACCATCCTGCCAAAATTGTTATATTATTTTTGCACCCTCCCAGTGTGGGTTCCCCCTCATTTTCTTCGGTTGCTTCAGGCGAAGTTTATGCGTTTTATCTGGGCTAATAAGCACCCCAGAGTATCCAGAAATACGCTCTTTGCTCAGACTCCAGTGTGGTCTTGGGGTGCCTAATGTAACTAAGTATTATCAGACGAGCCAGATAGGCCCCGCTGTCTACGTTGCACGCTTCCCCTGACGTCCCTCTCTGGGTTTTGCTGGAACTACCTAATTGTGCCCCTATCGCACCGTCGACGCTTCTATGGCTTCCCCCTGCCCTGCGCCCTATGGCGCTGAGCCCGATGTTGCTCCATGGCTTACAAGTCTGGGACTCGGTACGTTACTCCAGTGGCCTGATGTCACCCTTTCTGCCTTTGCTCCCAATTGTTAATAATCCTCTTTTCCCACCGGGTTTGGATCACCCAAGGGCGTTCTCTTGGTGGGTGGCTAATGGTTTTTCGCAGGTGCGACACTTTTTGGTTTTTCGGTCCTTCCCCACCTACCTTCAATTGCGGCACTGGCTGCTCTCGCTGCGGGGCACTTCTGCTTTTCCATACCGGAAATCTGCCTTTGAACAGCTTTGCCAGCAGCGTCCGGTCGCCCCGGGCCTTATCTCCCTTCTTTATGCAGTTTTGAACAGACGCTCGTCGCATACTTCTCTTTCATATGTTGTTCAGTGGGAGCGTGACCTGGGAGTGGCTGTGGATCCGGAGGACTGGAATAAGGCCTGGTCACTCATAGCTAAATGCTCATTTAATACGTCCACGCTGGAGGCAGCCTAGAAGGTATTGTTTCTTTGGTATTGGGTTCCAGCTCGTTTGGCCCAGGCTAACCCTGCCTGTAGTGATCGATGTTTTCGGGGTTGTGGCCATCGTGGCGATGTCTTGCATATCTGATGGTCATGCACAAGACTGGTTCGTTTTTTTTGTCTCGTGTGTTTGGCCTCCTTTTCACTTTGTTTCATTTCTCCATACGCCGGGATGCCCGGTATGCCTTGCTTCATTGCCCTATACCGGGCCTCTTGGCTCATCAGCAGAAGTTGGCGTCCTATTTGTTTTTATCGGCCACTAGAACAATTGCTCAGGCCTGGAAGAGTCCGTTTGTCCTTCTTCAGGGGGTGCGGGATCGTATGATCACTATGATGCTCAACGAACAGATGTCGAGTATATGCAACGACTCCCAAAGTAAATTTTCGAAAATATGAGAACCGTGGTTGCAATATGCCTGTCCCACGCTCCCTCTGGCTAGTATGGGGATGTAATGGCGTTTGACATTGGCGTTCGGTGGTGGCGCTCTTGGACCCCTGCTTTTTTTTTTTTCTCCCTTTTTCTGTTAGTTTTTGGGTGACAGTGGACAGCTGCCTTTAGTTGTTATAGTCAGAGTTTCATTAATATTGTTGTAACTTATGTGCCATTGATAGCCCCTGCGTGGGCGTACCTTCTGCCTTGTTGGAGTTAGAGCACTGTTTCTCTATTATGTTTTTTCTTATCGGTGCAATTGATAGCCCCTGTGGGGGCGTGTTTTGTTGCCTCTGTTTTATACTGATTAAAATGATTAAAAACCATTGAAATATAAAAAAAAAAAACGGGCTTCTAACTTATTTTAGCTGGCTTCTAGATTCAAAGCAAATTTGTCCAGCCCTGAAGTAAAACATGGCCTACCAGGCTTCGAGGGGGCTCTAAAGGCTGGTACACAAGTGATTAAGGACCACTATACGCTGCATGATCAACTTAAAAGCAGTCATCTCAAAAAAGCTGATTAACACATTTTCACAAAATTCTAAATCAGGCTAGGACCAATGGAAATATTGAGTGATAAAGGTGAACCTATGAAATGTAACCTTGGTTTATAAATACAATTAGGCACAATTGACAGATTTCAGTCTTCTGAGCTATCCAAGCAGCAGTGTTTGAATAAGAATACAGACAACGCAAAATGCATTAGGCAAAAGGTTAATAAACAGGTTCATAGACAGCTAGTACAGAGAGAGTGATGACTCAAATATATACAAGATTAATTTCAAAAGTAGTCACCTGACAACTTGCAGATCTGGATGGTGTGAGCATGGCTCTCCAAACCGAACCTTCCCAGGCATTTCCGGGCATCTTGGTAAGGCAGATTGAAGTTACGCTGAAGATATTCTGTCGCCGTCTCCTCCATGTTCAGCTGGTCTGCATATTGCTGATTAAAGAACCCAATTTTCTGTGCATGAAAAAAAAACCCCAAAACAAAACATCAAAAGAAGAGTCACATAAGAAGTAAGGCCCCACCTTCTCCAATTCTGTCCTACAGACTAGCACTCACCAATCTGTGATTCTTCCTCATTTCTCCTTTTGTCTGTAAAAGAAGACATGGAAAACTAAGCCAACCAGTTACTGAAACGGTTATTGATGGATGCAGAGCCGTGGCAGGTTATACTTACAGGTGTGAGTTTTCCAGTTAGAAGTAACAGCAGAGTACTTTTTCCCACACCATTCGGGCCCACAATACAGACTGTAGAGGAAAAAAAAAAAAAAAAAAAAAAAAATGGGGAGAGGATGTTAGGTGTCTTGTGTGTTCTTGCAATCCAGCAGTGCAACCATTTCTCCTGTCTCCACAACGTATGTCAAGCTACATTCACCTTGCACCAACAGACCTCACACGGCTCCAAGCAGCTTTTCAGACCTATAGGGGAGTAGGCTCCACACCAGCCCTCAAGAAGAAGGCTCAAAACACAGAAAGACTCCAAACTGCACCACCAATATAAACAACTGTGGTTAAAGGAAATTAATGTGTTTTTAAATATATTTTTTTAAAAAACATATTTCTTAAGTTTTAGAGCTAAAAGTTAAACAGATTTTCATTTTAACTACTTGCCAACCGCAGACAGCCGAATAACGGCTACACTGCTGCCGGCCAGTTCTGGGAGGGCGTCATATGACGTCCTCCCAGAACACGCTCTCCTGCGCGCCCCCGGGGGGCACTGCACCCGGCTATCTCCGAGATCGCTGTGTCCTGCGGACACAGCTGATCACGTGATGTGGTAAAAGGCCAATCACAGCGGCCTTTTACCACATGATCAGCTGTGTCCAATGACACGCCGATCACCGGGAAATGCAATTGCTGGTTCTCGGCTGCACCTTCCTTGCGCTGTCAGAGCGCGAGGAAAGTACTGCCGAGAACCGGCAGTTGTCAGAGCAGGGATCGGCACCGATGATCGGTGTCCAGCAGTGCCACCCACCAGTATCGCCCACCTGTGCCTAGCAGTGCACCCACCTGTGCCACCCAGCAGTGCACCCACCTGTGCCACCCAGCAGTTGGGCCAGTCAATGCCTAGCAGTGCCGCCAGTCAGTGCCCAGCAGTGATGCCAATCAGTGCTGTCTATCAGTACCCATCATCAGTGCCGCCTATCATTGTCACCTAACAGCGCCGCCTATCCATGACACCTCGTTAGTGCTGCCTATCACTGCCGCCTATCCGTGCCACCTCATTAGTACTGCCTATCAGTGCCCATCAGTGCTGCCTATCAGTGCTGCCTATCAGTGCCCATCAGTGCTGCCTCATCAACGCACATAAGTGAAGGAGAAAAATTACCTGTTTGAAAAATATTATAATAGAAACAAAGAAACTTTTTTTTTCTTCAAATTTTTTGTTTATAGCGCAAAAAGTAAAGCGCCCAGCGGCAATTAAATACCACCAAAAGAAAGCTCTATTTGTGAGAAAAAAAATTATAAAAATTTCATATGGGTACAATCTTGCATGACCGCGCAATTGTCATTCAAAGTTCAACAGTGCTGAAAGCTGAAAATTTGCCTGGTAAAGAAGGGGGTATAAGTGCCCGGTAGGCAAGTGGTTAAATATAGATATTTACATGTAATATTTATTATACTGTATATAAAACTTACAGCCAAGTTGTTGGTACAGTTCAGTGTGTTTTCTATCGCATTGCAAAGTTTATTGCTAAGCCATGAATAGTCTGCAATTAGATCTCAAGGAAAAGAAAAAAAAAACTGCATTCTAGGATAAAAGTCACAAGTAAGATTTATTAAACAATCCAATACATGGCAGACCACTTGTGCCTTGATAAATCTAAGTCTATCCCTCAAACCACCTCTCATTCATTAGAGTCGAGCATCATTTTCTGTTTTACACAGAGGGCTGATGGGCCCCAGGCCAACTTTGACTCAACATTTTGCAGAATGATAATATGTAAAGAATACCCCTCAAAAACAAGGTGGCACACCCCTCCTACAGATACTAGGCCCCACCAGCCTGAAACGAGTGCTGAAATATCACTAGGCCCTACAATCTGGAACTTGCTTTTGTGCGTGTTCAAACTCACTTCTAGAATCCATGTCTATGCCAAAATCCAGATTTTTAAACAAAAGCTTGTGTCCCGAATAGCCAAATTCAACACCTGCAATAAAGAAGAAAAAATAAAAGAGGGTTAATCATTACTGCATGCTGTAAATGACAGAAAAGGAGCAGAGAGCAATTCCAAAGCACACATACCATGCAGGCCCAGGATAGGAGGGCTTAGTGGAGGAGGATTCGGGAAGGTGAATTTCACCGTGTACTCCTTCGGTCTCTTCAGTAGCTCAGCTGGTTCATTGGAATCATCATCAGCTTTTTTCTTCTGACACTTCTGCTGCTTCCTAGTCAGAGCCTCCTTTGTCTGTTTCTCCTGCAAGACCAAAACAGAAACAGTATAAAAAGATGATGAGAAGCCTGGACATAGAAATAAGAGGCAAAAAGATCGACAGTCCTTGAGAGCTGGGCCTGCATTCGTGTCTCATGTACTATGTCACCACTAACTAATCACAACACAAGAAGGATATACAGGTGTACCTCAGTTTACAAACGCCTCAGTTAACTTAATTTTCGGTTTATGAATGAAAATCCATTGCAAATAACGGTTTACAAATTTTTTTTCGCAATACGAAGAGTATGTCGGTGCCGATTTTTCAAATGCAATTGCCGGCTTTTTTTTCTTCACTACAGCTCACAAAATTAGCTGTCACTTTACCAGGAGCTAAAGGATACTTTGTTTCTTTTATCTCAGGAACAAACTAAAAGGAAACATTGTTTCTTTTAACTCAAATAAACGAAAAGGAAACTTTCTTTTAGCTGGGGGGAAATTGACAGCTGATTCTCTGAGCTATAGTGAAGAAAAAAAAAAAAGCAAGCCAGTAATTACATTTAAAAACCAGCACTGACATATAGTGACAGCGACTTTTTTTCACTTTTTTTCTGACCTCTGGAACGGATTAATTGGTTTTCAATACATTCCTATGGGAAACTGGGTTTCGGTTTACAAATTTTTCGCAATATGAAATGTCCTGGAGAGCGCATTAAATTCATAAACCGAGGTACACCTGGAAGGAAAAAAAGCTTCAAAGGCAGAAGGAAAGGAGCAATGGCACTGTACAATACTTACAAGAGGCTTTTGGCCCAACATGTAATGACACGGAATATAACATGTTGCCGTTTTTATAAACGTATCCCTGACTCTCTTTCTATACAATGAGAGTGCATAACACTTCTAACAGAAACCCATGGAAATTTAAGCTCCTATAGCAGTGCATTACATGTTTATGAAATGCTTAAAATGGATTGAAGACTTTAAAGGGACACTAAACTTTGCCTGTTCAGGAAAAAAGTGACAGTATACAGTATGTGCAAAGCCACCCCCCATCTACTGATAAGCACCTTTCTGTCAATTCTCTGACACTCCCCTGCAGCTGGCCCAGTGCTTCTGGGTATGAGAGAGCATGCGACGACTTCCCATGATGCAGGACTTGGACCTAGCAGACAGTCTAATGATGTAGGCAGACGTCACTGCTTCTAGGCACTGACATCAGCTTACAGTAGGTATTCTGGTCATGGCGGCAACTGAGAAATAGTAGGTGTGGGCGGGGGAATTATTGGACAGATGAGTACTAATGGACTGGGGATGCTTTACACAGATTCTTCCTAAACTGGCAAAGTGACAGTGTTTCACTGGAGAAAAAGGAGAAATATATGTTTAGTAATATCTACGAACTTTCTTCAAGAACGCATAAAGATGTACATATCCTCAGTGTAATAAACAACTTTGTCTACTGGTTCCAGCAAGGATACCAATAATTGAAAGGATCCAGTCTCCTGACGATCACATCTACTCACCGCTTGCTTGGAAGATTTCCCTCCTGCCTTCAGATCCTTCAGTTTCTTTTCCTGCTTCTCATACTGTTTCAGCATCTCCTTCTGTTTCTGCTGGTACATCTTCTTAAATGCCACTAGAGAGACAAACGCACCAAATTAAGACATGCTACTACATTTGTCTTCTGGGTAGAGTGAAGTACAGTTTGGTGTCCCTCCTCAATACCGGGTCTCAGCTGACAACTACATTTCCTTGTCATTTTCACCATTTTCTCTCTCTGCCATATATTCTATCAATATACTAGGGAGTAATAACACCAGTGAGAGCAGTTACAAGGCACTAGACAGGCAATGGATGCTGAATGGGGAGATACAGATGGAGTAAAGCAGCAGAGATAGAAGACCTGGTGATTGCACATGTACAAACAACACTCCAGTAGAGTATGCAAGTTTTACCCAATTAGTAAATCTCTGAAGTGGGGGTTTGTTTTATGGCAAGAAACTCATGGAAAACAGCATCACCCTTGAAATAACACAGATGGAGCAGTTAGTCTTCACTCCAGCTGTAAAAAGCAATAGAATTGCTCCATAATTCAGAGGAAGCAGAAAAGACCTGTTCTATTCAGTGGGGTATAATGGAAGAAGTCATTCTCCAAGTGCATTTCCGCCCTCTGCAGCCAAATTTGAGAAAGCCACACTATATGTTTGTTATGTGTTCCCATTCACACAAGCAAAAAAATAAATAAATACTAAATTTTATATACTGTGTATACGCAAGTCGCACTGTGCTTTCTGAATGCTCCTTCAGTTTTTCAGGGACCTGTGATATGTCCCTGAAGGTTGCGGGGGATGGGGGAGAAGTGAGAAGGGTCTGAACATCGCCACGGCGATCTGACCGAAACAGGGAAGTGGGTGTCACAATCATGCACACAGGGAGAGGAGCAGGTCATCCATTCTGCTCCAAACAACTACATTTTGGTAGTTCTCTTAAACTCCCAAATCAGTCTCTCTCCTCCGATTTCCCCCCTCCCTCAGGAATGCGTTCAGTGTACCTTGCTAAGGGGCTGTCTATGGCATCCTTTTTCCAAATAAGGCAATAAGCTGCTGTTGTAAGAAGATACCAATTGATTTTTGGGTAGAAAAGAAACGGTTAGTTCTTGTGTGAGCAGTTAGACAAGTGAGGACGTTGGCTCTGTACCATTGAGCTGACCAAGAGTCTTGTTGTACCATCGCAACTGAGTGCAAAACCAGAAATCCCTTTGAGCTCATCAGAATTGAAACTGCCTAATTCCAAGCATTTATTTGGCAAGTACTTATCTATTGCTGTGCTGTGCGTGCTATATATATATATACGCACAGTGCAATAGATAAGTACTTGCCAAATAAATATATATATATATATATATATATATATATATATATATAATATATATATATATATCTCTCTATCTTAATTACATCTTCTCTGTAAATATTTTACTGCACCCGTTTGACCCTTTTAGTAATAAATCTTTCTTGTAAAAGTGTTGAACTGTTTCTATAACTCTTAATTGCAATTTACGAATCCCTGCCTTTAAAGAGACACTACTGTTAGTTTAACTCTCTGTATAACCGGCCTGTGTTAATGACCGGGTTATGCGGACGATTATTTCAATTATTGTAGTGTTATAGCGATATTGCGAGTGTCCTCTTTCTCTGAGCCAAAAGGAGGTGGTGGCAGTGTGAAGGGGTTAATTGCGTAATTAACCTGACCCAGTAACAATCGCCCCCAGGCTGCCGGTACATAGATTGTGTCCAATTAGCTGGAAAATCGTTGTGCAGGGTGCAGCTGGGCGTGGCATTGTTACGCACATCATGGTTTGGATCGGCCAGTCCTTCGGTCACGAGTTTGGTGAGGAGGTCTGGGGTCTGACGCCGCGATCGTGACATATTGGTGACAGCGGTCGTGGGATTTTCGCATGTTGGTGGCGGCAATCTTCACATATTGTTGGCAGCGTACATGGGATAACTGAATTAAGAGCTTCAGTGCAGTGTTAAAAAATTGGCTTTGCACTGAAGGATTGTAACCTCTGTGGAAACAGTCCTTAGAAACAAGCGGTGCATAATATATTATATATATATATATATACATATATACCATATAGATCCCAGTGGCTCAGTGACGGGGGTTCCCGCTACATCCAATCCCAGTGGCAGGACGGCCTCGCAGGATAGGCGGAGACTGACACTGGAGGATCACGAATGTTGTCATCGCACCACCGCCTGAGCGGGCCAGCACCGGAGCGCCTATAACCAGCAGAGTCTCTCCTCAGATGCAGGAAGCCCTGAAACGCATCAAGGAGACAGATCTTGAGGCATACCTGCGGTTCATGGAACGCCAGGCTGACAGAGAAGCTGCGGAACGCCAAGCTGACAGGTGGCGGAATGCCAAGCAGCGGCTGACAGATAGGTGGCAGAACGCCAAGCAGCGGCGGCTGACAGAGAAGAACACCGGGCTGAGAGAGATGCAGTGCAGAGGGAAGCTAATCATCGGCACGAGCTGGAGATGACAAGGCTCCAGCAGCAGCAGTGATAGGGTCAGAACCTCAGGTCCCTAGAGCACAGGGACGCCACTCTGGCCGTGGGCACAGCCGCCAAGTTTCCAGTGATGGACAAAGATAGTGACATTGACACGTATTTACTGTCATTTGAAAAAACGTGCTGTCAGTACCATGTGCCCCAAACACAATGGGCTCGGTACCTAACCCCAGGGCTACGAGGCAAGGCCCTGGATGCATTTGTTGAAATGCCAGAGGGGCAGGACGACAATTATGAAGTTTTAAAAGAAGCCATCATCCGGCAGTACCAGATGACCCCGGAAGTGTACCGCAAGCGGTTCAGGTCCATGCAAAAGGGACCTGGGGACTCTTACACGGATGTGGCGAGTCGCTTACGCACCACATTCCGACAGTGGACTAAAGGATTGAAAGATGACACCTACGAGTCTTTGGAAGATCTCATGATACGAGATCAGCTCCTACATATCTGCCCGGCAGACGTCAGACAGTTAGTCTTGGAGAGAGAGCCAGCGTCTACTAAAGCTGCAGGAGATCTGGCAGATACCTTCGTCTACACGCGGGTGTCTGACCCTCGCAAGGCTCCTCCGAACGGCTGGAAAGGGGGGAAAATCGCCCCTAGCAACCTCTCCTATGTCGGTGAGTCAAGCTTCTCATCCACCCCCACCTGCAGCTCCTGGGGCCAAGCCATTCTCGCCTGACAACCGCAGATGTTTCACCTGTGGGAAAGCAGGATATCTCAGGACGCAGTGTCCTGAGCAGAAGCAGATGACATCATCTGGCCAGCAAATCTTCTTCAGTGCTGTTTGTCCGCAGGGAGATGCAGGTTTTCCCCACCTACTTGCAGCCACTCACTGTGGGCAATCGGTCTGTAACTGGTTTCCAGGACACCGGAGCAGAAGTCACCTTGATCCGGCCAGAGGTGATTAAGCAAAGGAACCTCATCCCAGGGAAGTTCCTTACCCTCACAGGAGTTGGGGGGACCCGTTCACGCATACCCTGTGCAAAGGTGTTCATTGATTGGGGTGCATGAAAGGGGGATGAGGGAGGTGGGGGTCTCGGAGGAAATTCCCACACCTGTTTTGTTGGGTGCTGATTTGGGTACTCGTTTCTTATTATGCCCCTGCTGAGAATACCCGGAAGGCCCCCCTGGAACTCTCTGGACATGCCAAGGGACTGTGTGCAGATGTTGGGGTAATAATGTCTGGGCCACCTGTGGATGGACAGAGGGAGGGGGTCGGGAATGGAGTGGGGCTACAGGATTCTCCATTAGCTGGAGAACGAGAAGAAATCCCCTTGCCTGGGGAGGTATCGAACTCATGTGTCATGGACATTACAGAAATGTACCTGTTGATAATGAGGACGATGGAGCTGATATTGAGAATGTTGATGATAATGTTGATAGTTGATACGGTCAATGCGAATGGTGATGATGGTCATGAAGATAAAACTGATGCATTTTCATTGTTGGGGGTCAACCACAGTGCTATGAAGGGGGCAGAGGTACAATCTCCAGGGGCTAAACAAAGGTATGGTCTGTGTAGGCCTGTTCCTTGCCCAGGCCTAGAGGATTCTACTTCGATAAGTGTCCAGGCGTTGTCCTTGCATGGTACTGGACAGCCGGCTGGGACTTGCAGTTCCACGTGTAAGGCAGCACTGGAAAGCAATTCACACATGGACCTCAGCAGCCAGATAGTGGTAAGCTTCCCTGCTGAGAAAGGTAAACAAAGGCCTGACAGGGAGACTGAAAGCATGTCATATGATCTGACCTGTCCTGGTGTGTCACCAGGCAGAAAAACACGTGTCCTAGGCAGTGACAGCACACCTGGATTGGAAGTGCGAGGGGCCTCATTGGAGTTGATCAGCAGGTCTCCGAGAGGGGGCTGCGGCCTTTAGCTTCAATCACCTCTCCTTTCAAGTCAGGTACAGGAGCTGGTGGCAAGGCCTATGAAAGATGGTGTCAGAGTTCAGGAAAACCCAGGGAGAGCTCACCGTGCTGTTCATGAGTTGGATGGCAAGGTGTATCTTTCCCCCATGCCTTCAGCCAACCTCATCTCACAGGAGGTGCAGATTGAATGGGCCAAAGAGACAGAGGTAATGGTGCCGTCAGGAATCCAGGGGTCAGCTAGAGTCTGGACATCCCCGGTAGTCTCGGTCCCCAAACAGGATCAGATGACCAGACTTTGTGAGGACCTTGGGAAACTGTCAGGGAGCGAGGAGCCAGACATACAAGGAGGTGCAATTAAAGGTAGGTTTATTAATATAAAAAATAAGACTAGAGTCTATGCAAGTCCAACAGCGGAAATTGTAGCCAAAGCTGGGATCAAAGCCAGGAAGAATCTTCGCCAGAGCCGGGATCAGGAGCCAGAAGAATCGTCACCAGAGCCGGGATCGGGAGCCAGGAAGAATCGTCACCAGAGCCGGGATCGGGAGCCCAGGAAGAATGGGTCGTCAGAGCCGGGGGTCAGAAGCCAGGAGGAGTCTTAGCCAAAGCCGAGTCGGTATCCAGGAAAGCAATGAGTAGCTAAACTGGAGCTTGCTGATGTGCAAGAGACAGCACACAAATGCAATGGACAGCTACA